AGATATCATTTTAACAAATTATAGAGAAAAACTAAAGCATATACTATATTAAAAAAATCAAATATCTACTATTTTTTAATTTTATTTGAAAAAATAAGTTTTGTGCCACAGCTGAAGCTGCCCAGATACTGCTCAGTTCCCTCTTCCGCCAGCAACTTCTCCTCCTGCCCTTGCTACACTGCTCTGGGCAGCAGGTAGTGCTGGGAAGTGGCAGCAGTGGCCATGGGGATGTGCTCCAGGCAGCACACACCCAGCCAGGTGGGAGGGGGGAGGAGAGCTGCAACCAGGCAGCTCCTGCCCCAGCTTCAGGTTGCCTTCTAACTACTTGGAAGCTGGAGCTCTGTGCATTGCAGGAGCTGCCCAGCTGCAGCTTCTACCTCCCTCCACATGGCTGGGAGTGGGCTGCCTTGTGTACATCCTCATGGCCACTGCTACTGCTTCCAGTGCTACCTGCTGGCCAGAGCAGTGCAGCAGGAGCAGGAGGAGGAGCTGCTGGGGGTGGTGGGAGCAGAGTAGTACCCAGGCTGCTGCATAGCTTCCCACTGAGAAGCTATGCACGCTGGCTGGGGCTGTCAGCTAGTGCAGTGTGGGCTGGCCTGGGAGGGGCTTCATGCAGAACACTGGGAGGGCAGCTATGGGCTACATGCAATCTGGCGTCTCATATCCAGCCCCAGGCCATATTTTGCCCACTCCTGCCTTAACATCACTCATGCTCTCCTGGCAGTTCCATAACAGCAGGTTTAACTCTGTTACCAGCTGCTGCCAAAGTGCATTAGCTTTTGGCTGAGCTACTACCTAGCCAATGGTGAGCCCAGCATCCTATGATGTGGCCTTTAAGATTCTGGAAAAAATCTTTTTCTCTATATTCTACCTTCCCAAAACAAGTTATGTGTCTTGGTTGTGGGTGTGATGTATGCAAGTAAATATAGTAAGATTTTCCCTGACAATGACAACACAAAGATAAACTTAGAAGGGCACACCCGCAGAATAATACCACAACACATTAGTTTGTTGGGATGAATGCCTTCTTTCAAAGCAAAAAAACCCCCCAAACCTGCTGATATACCACAGGGACAGACCATAAAATATTAGTTAGTATTTTGAAATAAGTGAAAAAAATTATTAAAAAATTTCCCCAAAAACAAAACTAATTTCAGTTGTATTTCTATCTAAAAAAGACACACAGGATTTAATGTGCAATTTGAATTGTATATTGAGATGTTTAATTACATCTGAATCTATTATTTTCCAAAAACTGTATCACAATTCTGTAATAGCGTTTTATACAATTGCTACAGAAAACAGCTTCCATATCAGAACCTTTCTAAATTGGCCCCAATTCAGGTAGGTATTTAAGCATGGAACTACTCTGAAACGTGAATAATTCTACTGACATGAATTATAATATTCATATATTTAAATTAAGGCACAAACTCAGGCCACTGTAAGGAAGCAAACAGAATATTTAGAGCTTCCATACTATAGATATCTTAAATTTCTTTCATTTATTTTTTTTTACTTCTGTAAAATGCTGTGACTAGGATTTCTATTACTGTCAGGGTAGTCAGAGTACAAAATGAATCCAGTAAGATGGCTACAGCAGTGGAAGTACAGTAAACGGGAACATGCATCTTTCATTGACCTTTCAGTTTTCCTTTTCACAATTTTTAAGGAAATATATTAACTCTCTCTTCATATTAGTAATGCCATGGTTTGATGCATGATCATCTAGTGTAGCACATGAGTGTAAGGTCTGATACTGTATAACCTCGAATGGAAATTCCCTGAGAAAAGCTGTAGGCCATGTCTACACTACACTACACTGTGCAGGACAGAGCTAAGAAACCTGCCATTTTGAAAATGTGCCACTGCCCACTAACTTTCAGTCTGTGTGTGCTATATCCCCAAAAATTAATATGACCACTTTTTGGCACAGCCTTAGTGCATCCAGTATTACTCTAACAACAGTTACAAGATATTTTTTTGATAGGAGGTATGTCCATAGCAGCAATGAGTTGGTAGAACATGTACTCCAGCCCTGTCCAATCCAACGAAGATGTGCACTTAATGTCAGTATTCAATCCTGCAAAGTGCCAAGTAGCTTCAATTTCCATTAGCTCTAACTGAAGACAAGGGCCCTCCGCACCATGCAAGATTTGGCCCTATCTAATTGAAATAATTTAACCAAACATTGTTATGTATGAGGATTTCAAAAACTTGATGTAATTCTGGATACTTTGGTTGTGGTTTTCTGATTTCTGGAGTCTGTGCCCTAGCTCTTTCAAGCACACTTCATGATGTTTCTGACTCTAAACAAAAAGAGAGAAATGAAGTCAATTAATAGTACAGTTGAACTAGTTCTTGAAATTTCTAAACCACCTGTCATTTTCTAAAATCTCCATCAGAACTACACAAACAATGGATCCTCAGAACAGCCCCAGAATGTTGAATCTCTGCATTATTTGTCTTATTTCACAAACCAGAATTAATCTGTCAGAATCAAATTATAATCTCAAAGAAACTCAGGAATACTATGATGTCCTACACAGCAGTTTGAATTCTGAAACCATAAAAGATTCCTAGCATCTTAATTCGACTTTAAACTCAAAACTCTTGTGCTCTTTTGTTGGTGAGAACATCTGTTACTAACCTCCAAACAGTATAATTTTGTAGTTTAGTTTACTTTTTAATATGAAGTATGATCGAGAACACTATTACAATAAAATCCTTGATATCTGGCAAAAGCAGGGAATGACGGGGTGCCAGATATCTAAAAATACCGGTTACCTGAGGAGCGCGGGTTTCCGGATGGATTTGGAGCGGGGAGGGCGGAGGAGGGGAGAGTAGCGGTGGCTGAATGTGGAGCAGGGTGTGGGGGCTAGCAGCGGCAGCACACGGAGCAACAACCTCCCAGGGCAGTAGGGGGTGGCGGTGGCCACTGCGTGCGAGCTCCCTCCCCCACCACATGCAGCCGGCTGGCCAGAAATTCTGGTTAGTAGAGCGTTCTGGATAGCAGAATGCCAGATAACATGGATTTTACTGTACTTACTCGATAAAGCCACACAAGACACATCATAAATCATTTGTTACATATAAAGAATGCAGACATTTTTGGCTTGTCTTTTATACTTGTTAGAATATGATTTCAAGTTTGATTCGGTAAAAAAAAAATAATTTTCAAAAAGAGGTTAGATTCAATTATAATCTTTAGATTTAATTTCAGCAGCGGATGAACAGGGATCCAGGTTTTCTGTTTCCCATGGAAAAATGGGGTAAACCATGGATTTTAACTTTTACTGGAGGCAAACATGGATTTCTCATTTTACTGGAGAAGCCCACAGATTCTGCACTTTTGCAACGAACCCTCTGTAAGGGGCAGGGAGAGAGAGGGAGAAGGGTGGTCAGGCAGGGGCCGCAATGTGCATGAAGATGCACATAGCCCCAGGCAGCCTGGAGAGCAGCACCTGTAGGTAAGTATGTGTGGGGGAGGGAGGGGGAAATTGAGCCCCTGTACGGAGGGAAGTTGGAAGAGAGTTGGGCAGGGGTGGTGCTGGAACTGGGGCTGCTGCCCAACTTGGCAGCGTGTGGGGCTTGGGGCCTGAGGCCACAGTGCATGGCTGCAGGGCTCCAGCAGGGAGCAGGACAGGGCCATGGGCAGCTTGCCTGGGAGCAGGGACAGATTCCTGGAGCTGCATACACTCCCAGGGGGCAGGGGGGACCTGTGCAAGATGTGAGGTTGGGTACAGACTGCAGGCTCAGGCTCCTGTCCTGTTTCCCTGGGGCCTCTGCAGCCCAGTGGGCACAACCTGGCATGGCAGGTCACAGCTAGGCTGCAGAGGCCCCAGGGGAGGGCAGCAGGGTGGGAACCTGAGCCTGTGTCCGCCCCCACCCCTACCTGCCCCAGTGGAGAGCCAGCCTCCCCTGCCTGAGCCCACAGCAGGCAGGCAGCAGGGGGCAGCCAGGCTCTGCTCTGCTGTCACAGCCACAGCCTCCTGCCATGGGCATGGTGCTGTGGACCTGGGTCCCTGGCCCTGTAGCCTTGGCAGCTGGAGGCCCACTCTGGCAGGGCTGGGGGGTGGTGAGGGGCACCAGCACAGTCAGGGCTTGTGGGGGCCTTTTGTTTTAATCACAGATTCTGGGGGTTTTAATTTAAAAAAAAAAAATCACAAATTCTCTATCAAGGAAAACCAGGATCCCTGATGAACAACTGAAGATGGTTACCTTCTTGAACCCTACCCTGTTTCCAGCATCATTACACCAGCAAGAAGAAAACAATACAATTCTTGTTTTTCTTTTCATAAGTCAGTCTCAATTTTATTTCATAGATTTCATAGACATTAGGGCTGGAAGG